AAAAATTCAGAAATTAAACATATACCTAATTCAAAGTAACAAAACAAATTCATTAATTTAGTACAATTACTAATGCGGATACATATTTAGGTATGTGTATGGATAACATAATTACATATAGCGAGAGTTAGTTTTATATTCAAAGACCAGAACCATCCATTAACCTGACATCCAAAAAAGATCTCCCTAGGAGGTATGTTCTGTGCCTGCCGTTCTTTGACAGACGCTGATTGAAAGACCCAACCTCAAAAAAAGCGATGCCATTGTAGTGTTTCTGTTTACTTCTTATTAGTTGTAATTTGTAATTACACAGTTCTTAGCTGACTAAAGTCTTATGGATCTTCCTAATAGTCTTCGAAGCATGGATGAGCCATCAGTTGGTTTAGGGATTCAGGAAAATAATGGCAGTATTCCATCTAGTCCAATGGCACCCCAAAACATTGAGCCATGTGTACCTGACGGATTATCGGGCCCAGAAGGCAGTTTAGGAATTAGTATTGAGTCAAAGCGCTCAGAAATCACCGAGAAAAATAGGGTTGAGGCCAATAAACTTGCACCTTTAGAACACGTTTTAGACAAACCCATATCTGGCCCATTATTAGACGATACTGGTAGCGATAGAGCTAAGAGTATCAACAGTGAAAAAGTGAACAGCACTTCAAGAGTTAGACGTAAGATCAGACGAATTACTATTCTAGAAAGTGATAGTGAGCTAGAAGAACTATCTAGAACGCAAGAAGTTGAAGAATACACACGATCGGTCCAAGACTATGATGGTTCTGAGTTTCGCTGCTCAGATGCCAAAGGCAATAGGCCTGGAGCCAATGAAGGCGAGTCTTTGGCACACGTTTCAATACAACACAGATCTGGTCTGATTTTAGATGATAGTGATAGTGATAATAAGGAGAAGGAGGAGGAAGTTAGTGCTGATCACTGTAAAGAAGTGAACTGCACATCAAAGCGTAAACGTAAAAGCAGGATAATTGGTCGTGTTGACAGTGATAATGATAGTAATTCTGAAGAACAAATGGCGACTGAACCTCCAGAAGTTATGGCCGATAATTTATTAACTGAAGACGATGATGCTGCATCTGTTTTCTCCACTAATTCTAGTAATGGGGAAATTGTATCAGAAACAAAGGGGAAACAGCATGTAAGTACAGTACCGGAAACTATAAGAATTATAAATTTAGCATGATAGGTGAAATAGAATTATACATATAGCAAGACTTATATGGATTTTTAAAACCAGCTACAATTTTCAGAATTCAGCGCTGGCGCTGTTGTGCGATTCAGAAAGCCACGATGAACAAATGCCTTCCAAACAAGATTACTCCTTATCTGAAAAAGAGCCAACTCAGCAAACCAGTGGCAAATCTGCGAAAATCAGGCTACAAAGGCAATTTGAAAAAGATCGGGAGAACTTCCCGAAAAAAGTAACTATATATGTACGACCGAACGCCACGTTTTAATCAGCTCAAGTTCAACAGGTAACCACTGTAAAAGATGCTGCTGAGCAGCGAAAACAGATCCAATCAGAATCTCAGAGGATGTTGAGGGAGCGGACCATATCACTCCCCTACCATAAGCCGAAGACCCGCAGTCTAAAGGAATTTTTATCCAGGAGACCGAAACTTTCACGGGCATTGCCTGAACAAGCCAAGCGCACTGCTCCTTCCATAGCAATCAAAATGACTAACGATCAACTGGAATTAATATCGTAAGCCCACCTTTGAAACAGTGACGAGTGATGCCTAAAGTTTTTCGGGATTTTAGGATTAAACTGAAAGAACGAGAGAAAGAAGTTAAAGAGTTTTACAGATCTGAAAGTGAATCCGATAATGAGGAGTCTGAATCAGTTGAAGGAAATCACATTGCAACCGACAATGAACAAAAGCCGGCTTCTAATGAAGCCACTGCTAACAACTCGGAAAGCGCAATTCAGGAAGACCCTGTACAGGTTCAAAACCGTAATGGAGCAGATTTACAAACATCTAATAACGAAGTCGAACCAGAGACATCCACTGAACCTATTTCACACACAGGTAAGTACTCCAAAGCAAAAAGGTACTCTCTTCAAGGCTTCGCGTCCGGTTTTCAGAAGCCCAGTTGGAAACTGAGGAACAACCCAACGAATTATCCCTTAATGAACCAATGAACCAGCAAGACCAATCAAATGCTACCATATCCGAATCCAACTCAATTCAAGCTCAGAAAAGGGCCTCCGAAACATACGATTTTACCTTGGATTCGTCCATAGAAGACCCAAACACCTCCACCGAGGTGGAGCTGGGCAAGCCAGACTCTTCAGGATCTGAAAAAGCACCCACTTTTTCTTTCACGGAAATAGACAGGGAAATAGAAAATTTTGCCCATTCCGGCGAAACAGTCGATTCGAAAGAGCTTGCACCGCCATGTCCGGCAAAATCGGCACTCGAGTTGCTGAAAGAGAAATTAGCCAACGACACTCCTAAGCTAAGTGGGGAGCATGACGATTTAATAGATTTGAATTCAGTGACCAAGCCAAACCAATTCGTGGAATTGATGGAGCGATTTGCCAAACACGTTTCATCGACAAAAAAGAATCGTAACCAACACAAAGTCAAGTTGAGGTAAGTTACCAACATCAACCTTTGTAATAATTAGAAGCCCTAAGTTTAATACGATTTCAGCATAGTGTCTGTAGAGAGAGGGGGCGACATTCGCAAAGAAGAAGTAGCAGTGAACGTGGACAGCGACGAAGAAGATTTAGTGGTTGAGGAGAAACCAGGAGCAAAGTTGCACAAGTTGAAGGTGGACTTACAAAACCAAATGCAGCAAAAGAAAGCGGAACTGTGGCAACAGAAAGCAGCCAAAGGTTTAAGAGCAGGAGCCCTCACTTCTGAAGGTTTAGAGCAGTACATTTCCCTGATAAATTTGATATAGTTTGGTTAATTTTGAAGGCCAAGAAAATGAAGAAGACGTTTTAGACGACGATGAAGAGGAGACTGAAATGACTGACGAGGAGGAAACTGACGAAGATCTAGAAGACGATGTAGATATGAGAGAAAAATCCAGAAAAAAGTCGGATTTCCTGGACGAAGAGGTGAAAGAAACTAAGGGCTTTTTAAGAGCAAACGTTTATAAAATATTCCTTCTAGGCTGATGTTACTGATGATGATGAAGAAGAAGAGGATGAGTCGGTCAAAGAAGGATTCGAAAATAACGCCGTCGAAGACCAGGAAGAAGTCGTAAGTGAGCCCGGAACTTCAGAGGATATCCACGAACCAGAGCAGAGAAAGGTGCTAAAACGAATTCTCAAACCTACAGACTCAGATTCTGAAGAAGAAGACCTGTTCAACGACTCTGTGGCCCAGAAATCACTTACCAATGTCCAGTTAGACTCTACCATTACCGGTACGTAAAATCTCTACTTCGAACGATTCAAATAATGCGAACGTTTTTAGCCGACGAAGATGATATTCCTTCTCATCAACCTCCGCAAGTTGAGACTCCTGTTAAGGCTGCAGTGAGTCAAGGAAAATCCATCACTGAATTTCTAACGCCGATCTCTTTTCTAACCAGTATTCAAAATTTGGCGTCCATCTCCAAGGTATGAAATGAATTGCTTGTATTTTAAGACAAAGAAGACTTTTCACTTCCAGAGCAACAAGAAGGAGGCATTTATGTCACCGTTTAAAATGCCCTTAGACCTGCAGAATGGACGATCGGTCAAACAGAAAAAACTGTTTTCCGATACAGACATATTGGACTCCCAGGTAAAAACTAGGGTTTTGTGACGCAAAACATGTTTTGAGTAAGTCTATTTCAGGGTTCACTAAACACGCAAGAGTTCAGCTTAAATGTTCAGGGGCCATCGGCTGAAGAACCGCCTAATACTCAGGATTTACTCAATATTTGTTCTGGACAATTTACCGGAATAACTCCGATCGAGTCTACGGAGTCGACGGGGAAAGTGGACGAATTCAAAGAAGCCCAAAGCGGCGAATTTAAATCGTTAGGCGAGTAAACAACAGTTCCTAATTATCAATTTCCTTTAACATCTAAGCAATTCCAACAGGCCAAGAAGATATGATTATTTCTCAGTTGCTGGATGAAGAAGAGCTGGAACTCTTTAAGAAAAAGTTTGACTCCCCAGTAAATCAAGCAAGTACAGTTCCGGAAAACAAAGAAGTCAGTGGCGGAGGAGTAATCGATTCTGATGATGATGGGGAAACCGTAGGCGCCGGGCTTAAAAAGAGAAAGAACCAAAAGAGAATTCAGTTCTCAGGTGGGTACTTTTGAAGGTTTTTATTTAAAAAAAAACACCCATATGCTGTGGCTTCTCAGATGATGACAGTTCCGAAGATGGACTAAACGAAGACGAAGAGAAGATTGATTTGCATGACAACGTTGAATCTGACAATGAGCAAGATGTTGCGTATGACTCCGAAGAAAATGAAATTGAAATAAGCGAAGCAGGTAATTCGCGCCTTGATTGTAATTTCTGGTGAAAATTTAGAATTTGCCTCTATAGGAAAGCCGCAAAAATTTAAACTCAAAGACTTTGTGGAGGCTGAAGCCGAGCTGTCCGAATCTGAATGGGGCAGCGAAGATGAGGACGAAAAAGACATGGACAAGTTGGAATTCGAACTGGGAGACACGGAAACCTTTGACGAGGAACAAGTCAAATCGGACTTGGAGAAGATCCACATGTAAGAGGAAGATGAAAAAAATATTTGATTTATTTAAAGCTTCGTTTTCAGGCGGCGAATGCTGGACGACGATACTCGCGAAGTGAAGCTGCTGCAAGAACTTTTGCTGGAAGACGGGGAAATGCATGGGACTGGACGGCAGAGGCAGTTTAAATGGAAGAATATTGGTGTGTTTAAGAAGCAACAAGTGCTATAATTTAGACTAATAATCACGGTTTCAGATTTAGCTGATGAGCGAGTCGAGAACAAACAGGACGACGACATTTTCTTTGACGAGGAAGAAAGCGAAGAACAGTGGCGCAAAAAGAGGCATGAAAGAGAAATGTTCCTGAAACAACAGCAGCAGAGGAATCTGGATGTAGACTTTTTAGGCAACGGCCAGCTGCTGCAAATCGGTCAAAAAATCCTGCAAAAGAGCCAAAATTCGCAAAATACCGCTCCAGTAGAAAAAACCAAAGCTGATAAGAGCCCCTTCAAGAACACACCTTTTAACATCCAGGTAAATTGATGCCTGTTGTACGTGATGAACAATTAACTAACAAGAGAAATTTCCTCAGAACAAACGAGGGTCATTTCTGAACAGAAGCGACCAGGTTTTGAACCGAGTGGCTAAATTTACTAAAGTAGTTACAGAGGTCGACATTCATTCCAAAAAAACCACGAAACACTTCCTGTTTCAAAGAGTTTCTGCTGATGCATCATCGTCTTCCACAACGGTAAGTTGAAGCATCTCATTTGAGGGAGTTCCTGACAAATTAATTCGATAGGGAAAAAAGCGAAAAGCTGCCGAAGGTACTCCACGTCTGCTGAAAAAACTGAGATTGAATACCGATCTGAGCCCAGCGGTTAAAAAGCTCGATAAACCGGAAAGATCGAGGAAGTTGTTCAATTTTTAGCCTTATTTTTATACAATTGTTTTTGTTGATAACTTGCGAATAGATGCTTTTTACGATGGCCGCTGCGTTGGCGCGAAGAACTGAAGGGTTTGTGATTTGCGGGTTTAAATCTAGGTTTTATTAAAATATACACTATCAAAAATGGGACGATATATCAAAATTAAACGGATATATATCGTGTAATTGTTCAATGCAAGTTCTATATGATAATAATAATAATAATAATAATTAATGATGGGAGAAAACGCAATTTTCAGTTTGTGTAAATAAAGAGCTACTTGCGATGGCAAGTATAACACAAACTTATTGACATCACCAACAAATTGGAAATTTAAGTTCTGAAATTTTAATATTCACTAATTATTCAATTACCCTAATATGTGTGTGTAGAAAATTGATTGATTGATAATCCGACTATAAATTAGACTACGCTTAAATAGCAGGTACTAGCAGGTACTAGCAGAGTCGATACATCAATGAATTGGTGGAGTACATCATGGGCCTTACGTCAGGGTGTGGCTACAAGTTATAAAAAAATGAAATTTGAAGTAAACATGTTTTTTCATAAATTTTACTTAAGAAGTGCCAACCGTAAAGAGGCCATTCAAAGGTACTTACCACCGCGTCGTAGACAATGTATTTAGGAACCATACTTTCACCAGTTAGATTTATAAAAGCGCCCTTGTTTCCCATGGTATCACTGCAAGAAGATAGTATTTAATTATACGTGTTCTACTATCAATTCCCACCGCCTGCTTAAAGCCAGAGAAACGCAAACCGCTTGAAAAAATTTAAATTGCACAAAAGTAGTGTTGAATTCACGCATCGAGTATCAAGTTCGTGTGTGTGTCGAAAAGTTAATAGTAATTTTCATCAGGCCTAACCCAAACTTACCAATAGTTTGGAGCCGAAAACACTGTGATGCACCGCCCCTCATGAGCAACCTCGTACCCCGAGTCCTTCACTTCATGGCTTCGAATAATGTAATCCAGCTTATTCAGTTTGATAAACGCGTGAGTAACATCGGGTCCGAACTGGCATCCTACGCCCCGTTTGCTGGGCGCGCGCCCATCTTGGGGCTGTGGATCGGACCATAACAATTCACACATGGGGCCCTCATCGGGCGGCTGTCGGTTTCTCTCGATAGTCCTAATTTCATCTAGTGTAACATCATCGCGGGAAAATAGCCCTCCGTGCATCACCTGGAAAAAAGCATCCCCTTAATCACTGGTTTACATAGAAAGCCCGAACTGTCCTTACAAGTACTCGCTTGTTTAAGCAATGAGCTAAAGGCAGCCAGTTGTATACTTCGGTAAATAACTCGGCCATTTGAGCATTGTATTTGAACTTCACTTCGCCATCGAAGCCGTACATTTGATTCATCGTGGCGCTTTCGTGGTTGCCTGAAACCCATGCAATATTGTGGCTTGCACAATTGTTACACAATTCCTTACCTCTGGACATGTAAAAGTGGTCGGGGTACAGCAATTTGTATCCAAATAATGTGAAAATACATTCAACGGAAAACGAGCCTCGATCTACAAAGTCTCCATTGAACAAGTAGGGATTGGTCTTCGAGGGCAACCCGTTAAGTTCGAAAATATTCATCAAGTCATAGAATTGACCGTGTATATCGCCGCATACAGTAAACTTTTCTTTATCGGGGATTGTCACGTCTACCAGGGACGGCTGAGCCATGAAATACTTTTTGATGTCTAACAGAATCTGAAAAACAACCCATGCTATTAACGGGAGATCTTTGAGGGATAAATTTGTATGCTTCGCACCTTAAACGCAAATTTCCTATGCAACGTTCCTTGATCTTTGTACAACTGCATCAATTCCTTCATGAATTGTTCGGTAACTTTGCCATCTTCAAGCTGGGGGCCCGAATAATTATCTTCAATTGCTATTAGAAAAATATGATCAGTTACTGCAGTGCACTACCAATGGGATTAGGAACTCACTCATAGCATCCAAATTTATCGTGTCAGCTATAAATTTCTTTTTATCTTCTACTGAGATGGCTTTTTCGAAGGCCAACTTTTTCACCACCTTGCTGCATTCATTTAACTTAAGTTTGGCGTCTTTATCGTTTGGTCTTACTTTGGTTACCTGCCAAACAAGCACAGACATTTCTAAATGTAGGGCTTCAAAAGCGGGCCACTTACATATTCATAGTCCTTTTGAGCCAACTTCCACTTGCCCATAGACATATGGGCGTCAGCTCTTCTATAGAAACCTTTCACGTACGTCGGATCGAGTTCGATCGACTTGGTGGCATCATTCAGCGCGTACCCGAAACATTCAGTCTTCAAGTAGGCAAAACTTCGATTCGAATAATAAACGGGCACATTTGGATTCTTTTCGATTGCTTTCGTGTATAGTTCAATGGCAGCATTGTAGCTCTGTTCTAAAAAAATCATGCAAACTTTTGGCTCTAGATATTTCAATAAACAGGAATGGTTTTTGCAACTTATTGGTAGAGTGAGTCAAAAATATTTCACATGTATTTCTGGTTTACAGCTTTGTTGAACGACGAGATATTCTGAGTGATATCTCTACAATAGACGGCAGTAGGATTCTCATACAAAGAGCACAGTAATTTAGCAGATTAGTGAAAGTTTCTTACGAATTTTAGGCTCACTTTTGCTTTGTGTTTATTGTTAGAAAAACGATATCTTCTGTTGATGGCTGCGCATTTGGACCGTAATGAATATTATTAAGGCAAAAGCGACCTTTAAGGACTTGGGACCAAGTGACTCGATGAGTTAAAACCTTAGACTACAAAGAATGAGGATAGAAATGAAATAAAAAAAAACAATGAAGGGGTTATTTGGGCCCAGCTTCACACATGACTTGAATTGCCTTAAACAGCAGCCGAAAGTTGGTACTTTTCCAGAAAACTGCTCCCAGCCTACCCCTGTGGAAATGCAGGTTAAACAAATATCAAACACCAAAAAGTGCTTTACCCATTAAAACCCAACGTCCCAATTCTAAATTTTAGAATATAACGCGTTAATAACTCGATAAAATAGTAAAATCCTGAAAACTTACTTTTGAAATACTCGTTTGCCTCGTTTTTGAATGTTTCGGCCAATTCTACGTCTTCGGGTGATACCGATGGTGTATCCTTTGTGTCGGTACTCATGGTAAAAAGTGTCTATTTTCAACTTTGCAAAAGAAAAATGGGTATTTTAAATGTTCTACAAACTAAAAAATGAAAATTCAAGCGCGATGCATGATTTTGACCCTTGGAAATTTGACGTTTCGCTATGCTTTTGGGAATTTTTTGTGCTACCTCTAGGGGTTGGTAGCAAATGAGGTTAGAAGCTCCTTAAAAGAAGAAGCTCGGACGGTAAGTGCACAGAACATGCCCTAGGGATGTTATGTGGAAACGTGACCAATGCAGCTAGGAGACTGCAGTTGCAAAGATTGAATTTCAATATAATTAAGGACAGTTTTATAAAATTTAAGAATACAAACCTAAACAAATGTTAATATGTAAATTTATAACATTGCCAGTTTGGACCTTTGGATATTCTGCGGACTAAAATATAAATTATACTTCCGTGATGTGCCTCTGATGAGTATCAATGCAAACTGAAAAATGTACACAGACAATATAAACATACAAATATATTTGACCCGCCGTGTACTCTGGTAAATTGCATAAACAGTATTTTCCTCCCTTTCGCACGATCATTTTTAAGTGAAATATCATGTTAAAGGACAATCAAACGCACCTTAAAACTAACCGAACAATTAGAAACAGGAAGCACAATTATTGTTTTTTATTTTTGTCAGACACCGTATACTTGTTGTAGGTCTTTGTAGGGTCATACGGCTCCCATCGACTAGCCGGAAAAATGTGTTTATTGCGTTCGTACCAACTGCGCATAAGCACTTTTCCAGCGTGGCTTTCTTCTTTTTCAATGGAGGCGTCGCTTACTAGTCGCACATCATCATGTACATCAAACTGGAAAAGAGGGCCGCTCTTTCCCCTAGCCTGCAAACAGTTGATATTAACCAATGATTTATTCTATGTCAATGCGCAGTGTATTACCTTCATGACTATAAAATCATAGAATGTGTAATGATGCGGTAGTATCAAATCTTCTTTAACATACATCAGTTGGTCAGCCATAACAGTCTTTAGTTCAGAGAATTCTTTTCTGAGCAGCTCCAATACTTTTTGCAGAAATTGATAAATGGAGTTCCCTGGAAATAACCATAGGTAAAATGTTTTGTTAATTCAGCCGATCAAGTCAGCGAATTTCAACCTTTCATACCTTTTTTTACTCGTACAGTTCTTCTGTGTCCAGATCCATCCCAGTAACTGAACGTGATGTCAATCTCTTCTTCCTTGAGTTTCTGCTGTTGATCCACCCACTCTTGCCGCAATTCCTCCCTAAAAATTCCCTGCTACACTCTACATTTAAACTACAACACTTTGCTCATATGTACCTCAGCCGATTCTCTTCCTCCTCTCTTTCTCTATCTGGCAAAAAACTAGTATCTGCCATTGGGTCCTTTTTCACTTTCTTCAAATTAATATGCGCTACTTCTTCAGAAGACCGTTTAAATGATTTTTCACTCTCAGTATCTGCTTCAGCTGCTTCATCGTCATCCAATGTAAATGATAACGCTTGAATCTAGAACAACAGCTAGTTGCTTTGTTATACGCTAGTTGGAAATTTGGTCAGTTATTTACTTGTTTCTTTTGTCTATTCTTTTCTGCTTGTTTGGCCTCTATTTGCCTCAGTCGTTCCCGTTCTTTTTCCGCTTGCTTCTGCGCCAGTTTCTTCTCCCTTTCCTTCATAATATTCTCCTGTTTCGCTTTCATTTCATCCAACGTAACCAAACCGATGGTAGAGCTCTGAACCAACAAAAAATATATAAAAAACCACTTAGATCAACTATTAATCGGTTTATTACTTTGAGCTGTTGTTCGACGGCATCATAGTGAGCTGCAAACTTGGTTTCGATATTGTTGATTCGCAAGTCTTCCTCGATTTTCTTTTTGCGTATTTCCAAATCCTGCATTTCCTTCTCACGTTTTTTCATCAGTTGCATGGCCCTGCCTGCTTCACTCGCTGCTCCTTTATAATGAGCCATATTGTTGGCTTCAAAGAAATCGCTTAGAAATTCCTGGCGTGCTGAATTTAGAGCACTACTATTTATTATAACCTAATTAACCTAAAACAAGTGGACCTAGTAAATCTATGCCCTATACATAACCGTAGACCTAATACCTTCGACTTAAGATGAACCATAGATCTAAATGGATAGATAGATAGATAAAGAATAGTGAGTAGTCTGTCACCATAGAACATAGAACAAAGCTTATAATGAATACTGAGACTAACGCATATATGCTAACTTGACTCGTTGTTTAATGATGTTAAATGATGTGCGCCATAGATGAAGACAACTGACAAACTGATGTGCACAGCTGATGTGCGCAAGTTAGTTTGAGGTTACGTTAAGCAAAGTGTGGCGAACCATAGAGAAAGTAAAATATTTTTTATTTTTTAAAATTATTTTACTTACTCTATGGTGGCGAACTCTATCCGCCACTTCTCAACTGGCAGCAGAGACCACAAAATATCCCCCTTTCAGAGAAATAGTATACTATTTACTCTGAGTATGAAATGATGATCATTATGGGGTTTCAGTGTTATGCCTAATAAGCCTTGTTCTATGGTGTTATGTGAGTGAATTAGAAGCTAACTTGTGTGCCAATAAAACCAGCCTCCTGTAAAGAAGTGTTTTCACTCAGTGACAGTGCTCAATAAATATGGTAATGTTTCTTCGGTCTGTTTTGTATTGTTCCACATTCGTATACCAATTAACTGTAAATCTAATGTTATGTTTTTTAGAAAATTAAGCCGTACATGGGAAGTGAGTGGAGACCTTTGCCGCCGACATTGTACATTTGCTTCTGTTCACTTTCGAAATGTATTTAGTGACTGTCGACTCTCTGTATTCACATTTACCTATAGAGAATAAACGCGGCTTCGCTTTTTGGAAAGCAGTTTTATTAATTTTATCTGATGACCTGAATGTTTTGCTATTTAACTTAAAATACTAAAAGAAATTATTTAATTACAGGGAAGTGGACAGTTCAGACAATAAGAAAGGATGGCTTGAGATCGAGCCAAGAAGCAAATTGGATCAAATAATGTACGATATTGTTCAACGGCAAAAAGAGGAAGTTTCATATTCCTGCAGTCAATGCACCGTTATCATGCCGAATAAAAAACATTACATAATGCACATGTTGACCACACATACCACATTCAGCGAAGATACCAGATTAATTCATTTGTGCTATTTGTGCAATTTCCAGACCGACCACAAGCAACAATTGAAGAAACACATAGAATTTTATCATATGCAAAAAGGTACAGGTATAGATACCCTTCCACATCTGTATAGACATTTTCATTTCACAGTTAAGTTGAACTGCCCTTTTTGTTCCTTCGCATCATGTTATGCATTGAATTTGAGACGTCACATTTCCATTCATGAAGATATGCAGAACTTAACTTGCTTTCATTCTCAGTGCGATTTTAAGACCAGTTACAAGCATTCTTTACAAAGGCATGAGTTGAAAATGCATAAAAACCAGTGCTCTGTCTGCCATTACAAAAGCAGGTAGGCAACTGTATTAGAAATAATGACTGTTGTTGCTTACACACATCCGCTAATAATATAATATACATAATGTATAATTAAAATAACCGTTTTCAGGACTCGCAGTTTAGTCCAAAAACATCTTAGAACTGAGCATGGCATGTACGAACAATTTCAGTGCATGAAATGCAAATTTAAAACGTTTCAATTTATGACACTACGAAGGCACAACGCCAAGGATCACAGAAAAAGATCGAAAAGCAAATTTACAATGGTTAGAAAAACCCAAAACGAATTGACCATGGAAGAAGCAGAGGAAGTCAAGAGTTTGTTTAAGGACATTGTACTTACTGTAATGTAACGCAAACACTGAAAACACATTTGTATACAGTCGGCGTCACATAAAATTACACGATTGAATAGATGTTGTGTAAATCTGACTTTCTACCTCGATCTACCTGCGTAAAAAATGACAATACTAACAAATCAATTTTTTTTCCATTAGCAAAATGGCACATTCAAAAGTATTTAAAAAACCTCGAATAATTACATTAATCGAAGTGCATTAATGGTCAGCAAAACTAGTAGGTACTTGAGAGATTTGGAGCTCCAAAGAGCACAATTTATAAAGCGATTAATTAAATTGTCAAATTAAAACAAGTTTGTGACATATATATGACGAATTTCACAAAGCCTGATTTACCAAAAGCGGGAAAAATTGCCTTTAGGAGTCGTCTACTTTTATGTGACGCCAACCGTATGCGTGTACAGTCTGTAAAAAAGTCTCCATACACCAGTAATTTTTTAGTATCCCTTCTTAGTTTGCTATTTTGTTTCAATTTAATTCAAGAAAAATAAAATGAAAGAAAGAAAAATATTTCAAGTAAATATCGGCGCTTTGCTTACAAGTAATAAAATTGAACGTCAAATATTTGAACAATAAAAATAAAATTCTATTTGGATCGAGAATTTATATTAAAAATAAGCTCCATACACTTAAAAAAATGCTATTTAACATCATTTCCATAGCGGCGCATCATGTAATTCTTAGCACAGTTTATCAAGTTGGTTTGTTCAGGGGCGGATCCAGCTTTAAATTCGGGTGGGGGAACTTTGTCGAAAAAATACAGTCTTCTGTTGTCTATGAAATGAGAAAAATTATCGTCGTTTTGTGCAGGGGTGGCGTAAGATTATTGCAAAATTTCATGTTTTCCGTCCCGTTTTGCATGTTTCTCGGAAGCAAAATGAGCAAGAACGCTCGTTTTTACATCA